TCTATGACTCTGTAGCTTAATAATTCAATGGAACTCAGTTTCTACATTGACAGTTTTATAAAGTCTTTCCCTTTGTATTCTGACTGACTTGAGATTTTATGTCATACTGCGTACGCTAAGTTTTAGCAATTTGTGTACACGGGCACCATTTGGTACAATGCTACACATGATCAGACAATGGCTTTCTATGGAAAAGAAGGGTTCTAATGCTTTGTGAAAATGGTATATCTCTTAACAAAATGAATAGAAAGAGCTCAAAGGGAGTGCTTGTAGCTTGTGAAGCTGCAAATAGATGCTGTTTATGTGACTGTTGTCAGTTGATGAGACAGTGCTGTTGAAGTGACTTTCCAGTTCAGTGCTGAACTTCTGTAGAATTAAATCCCCTTTGGTCCCTCCCATCTTTTTTTTTATCCACTTGTGAGACATCGGCCAGCATTTATTGCCCATCCCTAGATTCCCTTGAGAAGGTGGTGGTAAGCTGCCTACTTGAACCGCTACACACTTGCTGTAGATAGAGCCACAATGCTACTAGGGAGGGAAGGCCAGGAATTTGACCCAGTGGCAATGAAGGAACCGTGATATATTTCCAAGTCAGGATGGTGAGTGGCTTAGAGGGGAACTTGAAGGTGGTGGTGTTCCCATGTCTCTGCTGCCCTTAGCTTCAAGATGGAGGTAGTCGTGGGTTTGGAAGGTGCTGTCTAAGACTCTTTGGTGATTTTAACTCTGAAACAGATTGCAATTTCTACAATGACAAGCCTGGTTACATCATGACAATCAGCTGGAGAATATGTCCTTCCATCAGGCTTGCTTTCAGGTTAATGCAATAGGATTACTCCTGATTGCACTTTATTCCCTGATCTTTATCTTATTGTAAAGAGACACATTGTAGCTCTTGAATAGAGAGAGGTGCAGCCCAAATTGGGTTTGATAAACTACAATAGACTCTTCAAAGTATCTTTTTAAGGACAGTAATCTCATTTGGCTCCTGCCATTAACTGGCTGCCAGTTTATTATGTATTGTGCCAGCTTTGATATTTGATATTTGCTGCCTCTCCATGCCTGACAGCCATGTGTATATATATCTGCAATGGTTGTCATTCTACTCCATCAAAAACAAATTATCCATCAATTAATTCCTTTTTATTTCATCAGGACCAATTGTAGTGCTGACTGGGATGTTTCCAGAGGCAGAAATTTATCTCATTTGTGAATAAGTGCAATCAGGAGTAATCCTATTGCATTAACCTGAAAGCAAGCCTGATGGAAGGACATATTCTCCAGCTGATTGTCATGATGTAACCAGGCTTGTCATTGTAGCAGGAGGACTATCAAGAAATGTTTGTTCCTCCGTAAATAATTGGTGCCACAGCTTGGATTTTCTTTGTAATCCATTGCTGGCATATGAATGATGCTGTCAAGACCAGCATTTATTGCCCATCTTTATCTGGCCTTGGCCAGGTGGTAGTGAACAGCCTGCAGTGAGTAACTTGCCACTTTCAAGGGCAGTTAAGGGTCAATCATATTACAAGAGGCCTGGAGTCATACATAAGGTAAAAATCACCATAGTCGCAGGGGACTGCATTCTTGTTATGGAGAGAGCGACAACTGGTGGTGAGTTTAACTTGAGGGTCACCACATCTCAGGCGAGGGGTGAGGTTGAGAAGGTAAGGCCTTCACGGTGACCTCAGGTACTGAGGGAATTGAATCCACACTGTTGGTATCACTTTGTGTCGAAAATCTCCTCAAAAAGGCATCAGCAAATCGGTCAGAAGGTTTGACATCGCATGAATGAGGCAAGCTTTCAATTACTTAATTAATCAACAGAATTAACATTTCCCTAGCTGCCGTGATAGGATATGAACTCATGCCTCAGGGCTATGTGTCCAGGTTTATGGTTTACTCGTCCAGTTACCATCGCTTTTTCGCGACTCCATGTTGACTCTTTTATAATGATATGGAATGAAGGTGCTCATCCAGTGTATGATCCGGGAGATACAAGATTTCTCAGTTGTCTCTACAAAGGAGACCTGGGGTCACATTACCGTGAGAAAGAGACAGGAATGCTTACACGACGTTTCTCAATCAGGCCCGGCAGGTTTCCTGGAGCGCTGCTTATTGTGAATTGCACTGCTCAGTGATGGCCCAATCCATCAGCTCCTAGGAATTTAACACAAGTCGTCCTTGAGATGCGGCTGATGCCTTTGGTTGTGACGCTAGGGTCTTTCTGCTGTGTTAGGAAAAGAATATATGTAAAGATCAGAATGGTGTGAGATCTGGCGATGGCTTGTTCTGAAGATGGCTTGTCCTCAGTGATTGTGGTGTGACATTGAGAACTTGTTATTGGGCAATCAGTTGATTACACAAACTACAGCCAGAGGTCGAGGGTGGGGCAGGGGGATGAATGTGGGGTAGAGTGGTAGTGACGACAATGAAACAGGTTGGCTTGCCCTGATGATGTCACATTTTATGGACGGCACCTACCCAGCCAAGTAGGTATTCCATGAGACTGCTGTAGGTGGTCAACTTTGTAGATAGTGGAAGCATTTCCTGTGGGGTCAGGAGATGAGTCACTTGTCACTGAGTTATGCACACAGGGAACGGTTGTGAGCTGCAGAATGCAAGCCATGTATTTGCTCAGCTGACTTTGATGGCTTTAGGAATTTGCAGTGGCCCAGGGTACCCCTGTAGGCTTCAGCCTTGAACTGGATACAGCTCTGGGCTGCCAACAGTCAGCAGGACATTCCCCCAAGTCCAAGGTACACACTGACTGCAGCCCTCTCACCCTACAGGCTCTCTCCCATGACCTCGTCATGAATGGCAGGACTTACGGCTCATTAATGTACAACCGAGTACAGATGGGAATGTTAAACATGCATGTTATGCTAAACCCTATCAGCTGCATTGTGCCATTTCCGTCGTTCCTTTCAGTAGACTGGATGTCAGTGGAGTTATTGATGTTAGTGAAACGCCACATCTGTTATTAGCACATTATCTTCCTTTGATGAGGTTGATCCTTATTTTAAGGAGGTGTTCACAACAATGTTCATGGACACTCAGCAAGTAAATTTTTTTTGTCCAGTCGACTCACAATCTGTTAAAGATTTTCACCCTAGATGATATATTTATAAAGTGACCTAATACAGTAATATTAAGCACTCTTAATGCTTTGTACTGCCCCATGGTCAGAATCATTGCAGAATGTAACAGATGTAACTAACTGGTAACAGAGCGGATATGATAAATGGTTATAATACCAAAATTGTGCAAAGACAGACATCTGGTTCATGAGAGAAATTTGCAGTCAGTGCTTTACAGTACATAAATCAGTAAGGTTTTAAGATTAATCTAAAACTTTTGCTGAGTTAGTCAAGCTTGTCCAGGGTGGCAATAGGAACATTCCAGCTCGTCTCCGGCTGGGATGAAGAAAAGAAGCAAGACAGGGTTCTCAGTCCTGAACACCATCGAATGACTTCTGCAGGTGGGGGCATTGGTGAGGATAGGAGAAGGCAGCTGTGAATTTCCCCCTTCTCCCCTCCTCCAGCCCATGGGAGAACGGCCTGCCAACATTCTTTGCCGAGGACCCACATCAAGAATGGTCAGTTTGATGAGGGGTTGGACAGCGGCCAGTGCCTGTGGATCTGTACCAAGCGTGAATCAGTCCTTTCAGGGGTGGAGGCAAGCAGAGGGGACTGGGCAAGATCAAGTTTCCACTAATTGATACTCTCTGCTGTGGTGCTATTAATGTCACAGGCGCTAGAGTTGCTGACTAACAGTCTGGAAAGGAAGCGGGAGTGGATTTCATTTATCATCGACTTGGCTCAGATACAATATCACATGGTCACCATACTGCCAAATATTTATTAGATATCTGGCAGGATCAGTCAGGTCTTATGTATTGACGCATGTGCTTCAGTCATTTTCATTCTCACAATAAATAATACCTCAAGCCACAATCCCGATGGATATAAGTATTAGTTGTTTGTTTTGTTGCTTTTCCTAATTCACAGCCTTTTTCAGAAGTGTACAAACAGGAATCTTTGCCTTAAACTCTCTCCTTACTAATGAGGTAACAACATATTTTTTGCATCTGGACAGCATATGAGAGTCTAAGCATCATCCCTTCATGTGCTGTTCCCATACGTGGAATGAGTGAAATATGACCGTGAAAAACTGACTCCAAATGGATCACCATCTGAATCATGGCTCGTCTCAAGGTAGAGAGGCTCGATGCAAAAGTCTTTGGGTTGCCAATGCAGGACAAACATGTTCCTGAAACTTCGATCATGTGCGTTTGATCAGGATGGTCGATAGGAATTGTGAAAAATCAAACCCTTAAGCCTGGTGGAGGAAAGTGACAGAGATTGCAGAAATGACAGGAGTCTGGATGTTACTAATAATGGTATAACCAAGAAACACTTCTCTCCGTCTCAGCCAATATACCTCAAATATGCGCGAACACTTGCCTGCTGTAATGGACATAGGGCATATTCCGCCAAGCAAAGCAGGCTGGGATATGCACTTCCCCATTGGAAGGGAAACGTATAATACAAAAGAATAGTCTTTCATCATTGGCTTGATAGTAAAGGATAGAAACGTGTCCATCCAGAGGAAGGAGTTTTTATACAAAAGCTAAAAGATTCATGAGAGTGCAGCATCTCAGCCAATACATTAATAAGCTTAGTAAAATATTTATCTTTGACATTGACATATGTGGAGGGTAACCCTCTCGTTCCCACCTGGAGATGACGGGCAGGCAGTGGGGAGTGACCCTCTGAGATATACTCCGAGTTGGTGCACGCAAGTGGGAACTGGCACTCAGGAGATGACTGGTACAGAAGGTTCTTTACTTCCTGAGTTCTGCAGGCTGCAAGAGTAACAGATCACAGAAACACCTCTTCTGTTTAAACTCTCTCTCTAGGTGGTCCTCATTATTAAAGAAAAAGATGCTGTTGCCTGCAGTAAAACCCAGATGGTAATGGTTGTCCCTTTCCTCCTTACAGATTCTCTCCGATCAAGCTCAAAGGTCAGTAAGGATGCAGCTGAATAACTTCGTCAAAGAGTGAGTACATCAGTATCATTCCTTGTAACCTCTGCTGGCTATAAAGAACTTTGACACTGCCTTCCACTCAATAAAATAAAACTATTGTGACTGACCCAATTTCTGGATTCACAGCTGCGCTTGTTTTTTTATTTTAAGTTTGATGAATAGCACAAATAACAGGAAGAGACGGTGTGTGGAAAATTGGACCATATACAGCCAGTAAGCTTCACAACTAATCCTATGTCATGATGACTTGACATATGCAAACACAATATATATTATAGAAACAGTGAACATGAAATATATATGTGTGCATATATATAAAACAGCAATCCTTTCAGTGTTGTTTATTGACTGCCAGTAAGTTCAGAAAAGATCCCTTCTTCTCCATGAGATTAAAAAGCCTAGAAACTAGATAAATGTACAGAATTAGAAAGAGTACCAAGGACTAGCATTGTCACAAAGTAATATCTTGTATTTATATCATGCCTTTTTAGAACTGTTCAATTAGACCATTCGCTAAATGTTGAGTAACAGCTGTTAGTATGACAATAAAAACAGCAAACCAAGCACTTGGTTTTAATTCTACTGGGATAGAATTGATCAGTAGGAGTGTTATGTTAGACCTGTGTTGAATCTTGTTTAAACCGTATATAGAGTATAGCATGCAATTTTTATTGCCATATAATGAGAAAGGGTGTCAAGGCATTAGAAAGCGTGCAGGGGAGATTTCTGAGGATGATACCAGAAGTACCAGGATGTACATATCCACAAAGGATTGGCTGGCAGGTCTCTTCCTCTCCTGAAACGAGGAGGCTGACAAGTGACCTAATGTAAGTTATAAAATGTTTTAGAGTGAACATAGAATTAAGAGTCTAATGATGACCTGAAATCCTTTGCTGATTGTTGGAAAACCCATCTGGTTCACTAATGTCCTTAAGGAAATGAAACTGCTGTCCTTACCTGGTCTGGCCTACACGTGACTACAGACCCGCAGCAAAGTGATTGATTTTTAACTGCCCTCTGGGCAATTACGGATGGGCAATAAATGATGCCTAGTCAGTGACACTATCGTCCCACGAATGAATAAAGAAAAAGAAAGATGAGGGGATCACTGAGTAAAACACAAATGCTGACATGGACTGTTTGGTCCAAATGGCCTGTTTCTGTGCCATATATCCTGTGTTAGTCCTGAGTAAACGCTCTCCTACTGGAATATACCACAGGACCAGACTATGGTTAGGAACCAGTTTGTTGGGAATCCGTGATGGACTTCACATGTTCATTACCCTGTGAAGCAGTTGTTTCAGTTTTGCAATAAAACCATCCAAAAGGACCAAATACCATATAGCTGGCCTCAGCAAGTTTGGCAAGAATATGAGGAAAAGGCAGGAGGTAAATTAAGGGGTGGTGATGAGAGCTTTGAATTTCAAAATCTGCAGGAGAGAGGAGGTAGACTGAATGGGTGCACTTTGCTGTTTTCTAGTTCAGTGTTTTAGCAAGATTCCTGCTCTATTTTCCTATTTCTCCCCCTAGTTTTGAATAGTTAAGAGGAGGAACACACACATGGTGAGCTTTGAGTTCAACAATGTCTACACTTTCACATGTTTTAATGGAGAAGTGTAAACGTAATTAGTTTCGTGAACCACAGTTGCTGAGATGAGAGGTGTTAAGATGAAGTTGTGAAAAGATATTTTCCAATCTCCTTTCCTTCCTACCTTTTGCGAAAGGTGTTAATTCTGGCTGGGATGGGAAGTGGCAGCAGCTCTCAGTGCTCCTAAGGTGTGGAGTCATTGAATAATAGAGCTCAGAAGGAGGCCATTTGGCCCATCATGCTATTGCTGGCTCTTTGTCGCAACTGTTTAACTTTTCCCATGGCCCTGCTCTTTGACCATAACCCTGCAGTTCTTTCTATATCAAGTACACACCCAGCTCCAGTTCAAAGGGACAATCACACTCCAGATCACCCCTGACAGAACAGGTTCAAACAGGTGAAAACTTTACTAAGCTCTGCGCCCCCACAGTCAAAACCTTGGATAATACTCCCCATCCTATGCTCAACAGCAAGCAACATATTATTACAGAGTCACAGAATTATTCCTGCACAGAAGGAGGGCATTCAGCCCTTCATGTCTGCACCAACCTTGTGAATGAGTGTTTCACTTAATGGCTTCTCCCCGTGACCCTACATAGACTTTCTTTTCAAATAATCATCTAGTTCGGTTTTGGACATTTTACTTGAACCTGCCTCCATCACAGTTTCAGGCAGTGCATCCCAGACCCTAGCCACTAGCAGTGCAAAAATATTTTGTTTCATATCACTTTTATTTCTTTTGTCAATTACTTTAAATATGTGTCCAGTTGTTCTCAGTCCTTGCATGAATTGGGATTGTTTTTTCCCTAGTCGCTCTCTCCAGATCCCTTGTGATTTTAAATACTTAATCAAATCTCCTCTCAGCTTTCTCTTCTCCAAGAGAACAGCCCTGAGTTCTCTAATCTGTATTCATAACTGAAGCTGCTCATTCATGGAATCATTCTTGTAATAGCGCCTATGATGCAGCAAAATGTCTCAAAGCGTTTCACAGTAGTGTTATCAAATAAAATTTAACACCAAGCTGCATCAGGAGATATAAGGACAGATGGCTAAAGTTTTTTGACAAACAGGCAAGTTTAAACAGAATCTTAAAGGAGGAGAGAGCTGAAGAAAAGGGAATTCCAGAGTTTTAGGCTTTACCGAAATGAAAAGGAAGTAGCAACTGAAGGCGCTCCACCAATGGAGGAATGATAAAAGTCACCAAGCGTGCAGGATTACATGAGTGCAATGATCACAGAGGGTTGTGGGCTGGAGGAGGTTCGAGAGATAGGGAGGGAGTGTAGTGGCTGGAGGAGGTTACTGAGGTAAGGAGGGGCTTGTGGGGCCAGGGAGGAACTTCAAATCAGGGATGAGGTTATTAACATCGGCTCCCAGTCTGGCAACATCTCAATGTAGTCAGTAAGCACAGAGGATAACAGAACATGAATTCAAATGGAGAGCAAATCTCTGGAAGGGCTTGAGTTGATGGTGGTTGTGAGGTGGGAGGCCATTCAAGAGGGTATTGCCATAACAAGATCCACAGCTACCTGGGAAAGATTTCAGGAAGATGCTGGTCCATGAAAAGTCAGATCAAGAGAAGAGAGAGGGAGAAAATTTGAAAATAAAATGATCACCAATGATGCTGGGCCTCACAGCTCAAACCATAACTTCAACAAGTGCTACAGAATTTCCCCATGACACTACAGATTGAACCTTATGTTTATTTGATGAAGTCTGAGTTGAGTCAAGTTTTTGGGATGAATTTCTGCTATGAAGCCTATTGAGTTTTCTCACCATATCTTAGTAAGCTCGCTTCATTAACAGCCAAGCCCATCCCTCTGGCTTCCTTCACGTCTGATTCAATCCCCATTTTACCACTCACCATTCCTGAAACAGCTCACCAGTCAGCGGATATCCACTGAGAGAACAATATCCTTTGTGCCCATGGCATCATTAAGAGCCCATTATGCACTCAGACAAACAGTGTCAGTATAGAACTGCCCCACTCGGTTCCTGACACTTGCCCCAGGTATGGAAGACCAGGAGAAATTTCGCATTCTGCTTTGTGGAAGGGTCCCGGAAACCTTGCTGGATGGAGTGGTGTACAGGTGAGATTTCATCTCTCCCAAGGGTGAGCAGAGAAGGCCATGACACCAGACTATGCCAGCCTGGACTGAGGTTGCCACCCATGTCAGAGCACACTCAGCAAGCCAGAGAAAGACCCAGCCCTGTAGGTAGGAAGTCAATGTCCTCCTCCACTCTGGCAGTGTAAGTGCCACCACCTTCTCTCTGATACCTCACACTCACTCCATCTCTGGCACTGTACCCACATCCCATCAAGGTTCCTACTCTACCCCTCTCACTATTGCCTGCAACATCTTCTCTCGCCTGTACTTACCCACCCGAATCCTGTACACCACTATCCCTGCATTGCCTCTGCACTGCCTACTCGCTCGCTTGGGACACCTCTCCCCATCTGCACCAACAGGAGCCACACACTTTCACCTCCTAAATACCTGCTTGTCCCTCATTCCAGGAAGAAAACAGCCCCCAGTGGTGCCGAAGGAGACAAGACAGGTGGTAGGATGCTAGACATGTGGCTCCTCGCGCCTTAAGTGGACAGCATCCTGACTCTAAACCACTTTGAGTGAGTGACTGCATCCAAGCCCATGGACTGGTGTCAGAAGTTTCCTGTGACTTACTGTGTCGGGACCCTCTGACTGAAGGCTATGCGCAACACCCCCAACCCCCACACCCTGGACTTGACTGAGGCCTACTGACAACCAAGAAAAATTCTTGCCTTTGTGTCTGTGCTAAATGACACGGCAAGATATCAGTAACAGGAGCCTGGTATCACTGGCTGAAGGGACAATAAGGCAAGCCAAGGTAATTCAAGGCAAGAATGCATTGAGCATCCTGGTAGGCTCAGAGTGAGTGAGTGCTCTAACAGTGAGTGAAGCCTGGTCCAGCCCAGCAGCTGGGTTTGTGTCTATGCTGCAACATTATAATAATAGCTACCAGTGCAGCATCGAAGTGGAAATTGTACTGTAAATACGGGGAGGTAATGGCCTAGTGGTGTTAAGCTGGATTGTTAATCCAGAGACCCAGGTCATGTTCTAGGGATCCAAGGTTGAATCCCACCACGGGATGGTGAAATTTGAATTCAATAAGAATTTGCAATTAAGAGTCCTAACAATGACCATGAATCCATTGCCAATTGTTGGAAAAACCCAATAGGTTCACTAATGTCCTTTAGGGAAGGAAACTACCATCCTTACCTTGCCTGGCCTACCTGTGACTCCAGACCCACAGTAATGTCGTTGACCCTTATCTGTTCTCTGGGCAATTCGAGATGGGCAATAAATGCTGCCTAGCCAGTGACACCCTCATCCTGTGAATGAATAAAAAATAAATCAGAGATGTGCTATGAGGATGCTTTTAAGGC